TGGTGGTGATGGTGGTGGTGATGGTGGTGATGGTGGTGATGGTGGTGGTGATGATGGTGGTGATGGTGGTGATGGTGGTGGTGATGATGGTGGTGATGGTGGTGATGGTGGTGGTGATGGTGGTGGTGGTGGTGATGGTGGTGATGGTGGTGGTGGTGGTGATGGTGGTGATGGTGGTGGTGGTGGTGATGGCGGTGGTGATGGTGGTGGTGATGGTGGTGGTGGTGGTGATGGTGGTGGTGATGGTGGTGGTGATGGTGGTAATGGTGGTGGTGATGGTGGTGGTGATGGTGATGGTGGTGGTGATGGTGGTGGTGGTGATGGTGGTGGTGATGGTGGTGGTGATGTTGGTGATGGTGGTGGTGATGGTGGTGATGGTGGTGGTGATGGTGGTGATGGTGGTGGTGATGGTGGTGGTGATGGTGATGATGGTGGTGATGATAGTGATGGTGGTGATGGTGGTGATGGTGGTGGTGATGATGATGGTGGTGGTGATGGTGGTGATGGTGGTGGTGGTGATGGTGGTGATGGTGGTGGTGGTGATGGTGGTGGTGATGGTGGTGATGGTGGTGATGGTGGTGGTGATGATGGTGGTGATGGTGGTGATGGTGGTGATGGTGGTGGTGATGGTGGTGATGGTGGTGGTGCCGATGATGGTGGTGGTGGTGCTGGTGGTGATGGTGGTGGTGGTGACGGTGGTTATGGTGGTGGTGGTGATGGCGGTGGTGATGGTGGTGGTGATGGTGGTGGTGGTGGTGATGGTGGTGGTGATGGTGGTGGTGATGGTGGTAATGGTGGTGGTGATGGTGGTGGTGATGGTGATGGTGGTGGTGATGGTGGTGGTGATGGTGGTGGTGGTGATGGTGGTGGTGATGGTGGTGGTGATGGTGATGGTGGTTATGGTGGTGGTGGTGATGGTGGTGGTGATGGTGGTGATGGTGGTGGCGATGGTGGTGGTGATGGTGGTGGTGGTGGTGATGGGAGGAGGGAATTCCAGAGTAGAGCAGTGCGAGAGGAGAATCAGGAGAGAAGCGAGGTGACCTTCAGTGTGGTGAGTGGGTGGGTGGGTGAGTGGGTGGGTGGGTGAGTGGGTGGGTGAGTGGGTGGGTGGGTGAGTGAGTGAGTGAGTGGGTGGGTGAGTGGGTGGGTGAGTGGGTGAGTGAATGAGTGGGTGAATGAGTGGGTGAGTGAGTGGGTTGGCGAGTGGGTGGGTGAGTGGGTGAGTGGGTGGGTGAGTGATTGGCTATGTGAGTGAGTAAGTGGGTGAGTAAGTGGGTGGGTGGGTAAGTGCGTGGGTGGGTGGGTGGGAGAGTGAGTGAGTGGGTGGGTGGGTGGGTGAGTGGGTGGGTGGGGGAGTGAGTGGGTGGGTGAGTGAGTGAGTGAATGAGTGGGTGGGTGAGTGGGTGGGTGGGTAAGCAGGTGGGTGGGTGGGCGTGTGAATGAGTGGGTGAGTTGTGGATTGTTGAATCAATTTACGAACTGCTCTGCAACGCCCACCACCCCAGTTCGACCTCTGACCCTGGCTCACACCACCACCACCATCGGTGTCCATCCAATTGTCTCTACCTCCCCTAGGTCGACTCAGCCTTAAGCCAGTAACCCAAGCCTGCTGCACTGGTGCGCTCAGTATCAACATTGGGGAGACAAAGGCGGCCGGGCGTTGGTGGTGGTGGCCTTAACAGGTGCTCGCAAACAAAGCAGAACTTGGAATCGATTTCCTTTCCCCCAGGATTCGATTCCAGTGACCCGGGAATCGATTCCCGTGCCCCCCCCCCCCCCTCATTCATTACCAAGCTCCTGTGACCCCAAATGACCCCATTAGGTGGTGGATGAAACTAATTTGCATACATTAATGGGATGGAGGGGGGGGCGGGGGGGGGGTTCTAATTGGTGCTGTCAATATTCTGTCTGGGAGAGGAATGCGGAGTGGGGGGTGGGGGTGATAGAGTTGTGCGGATGGGTAAATTGTGTCACCCCCCCCCCACACACACCCCACCCACCCCACCGTCCACCCACACCCCACCCACCATATCACCCCCCCCACCCACCAGCCCCCACCCACCCCCCATCCAACCCCCTCCACCCACACCCCACCCACCTTACCCCCCCACCAGCCCCACCCCCTCCACCCCCTCCACCCCCCCACCCCCTCCACCCCCCACCCCACCCCACACCCTCCACCGCTACTCGCTAACAGCACTTGCCCCGACACTCTGCTGCAGGCTACGTGGGGGACCTTTGTCTGTTGCTGACACCGCTGCGATGAACTCCCGAAGCGAGTTTGGGAGCCCCCCCCCCCGTCCCGCGACCGGCCCCGAAACTCGTGCTGCCTAATTATGCAAATGAGCGCCGTGCTTCTGATTACGGTAATTAAGTTAGAGATGCAAATGAGGGAGGTCGCGTTGGGGGGTGGAGGAAAGGGCGGTTTGGGGGGGTGGGGGTGGAGGGGTGCAAGGAGGGTGGAGAGGGGGGGTGGAGGGTGGGGGTGGAGGGGTGCAAGGAGGGTGGAGAGGGGAGGGTGGGGGTGGAGGGTGGGGGTGGAGGGGTGGAGGGTGGGGGTGGAGGGGTGGAGGGTGGGGGTGGAGGGGTGCAAGGAGGGTGGAGAGGGTGGGGGGGTGGAGGGTGGGGGTGGAGGGGTGCAAGGAGGGTGGAGAGGGGGTGGAGGGGGTGGAGGGGGAGGGGTTGCAGAGAGAGGTGGTGGGGTGCAAGGGGGGTGGAGTGCAGTGGGGGTGGAGGGGGGTAGTGGTGGAGGGAGTGGGTGGATGGGGGGAACCTGTCCCGCAGGTGGTCGACCAAGGCTGTGCGTAGAGGGATCAGGAGTCTCAACACCCTTGCGATGTTTGCAATCATTGATGAGTCTGTGGGTCTCTGTGTGATGAGTCTATGGGTTTCGATTTAAAGCTTTCGTGACTGCAGGGATTCATCTTCTTGGTTCTTTCGGTAAAGTCACGTAGAATGGAAATAATAAAATAATAAAAATAAAACATTATTAAATAATTCTCACGACGTTTCGGTCACAACGCAAGCAGCCGTCATCAGGTGAAGACCAGGTCTGTCGGGGAGACAGCGTCTGAATGAAACACCACCACGCTTGGAGCGTATATTTAAGCTGGGTTGGAAGGGGGGGGGAAGGGCGCCTTGACAAAATAATTTGCATATCAAGAGGAATTTAGCATATTTATGAGAAATGCAGGTATGTGATTAGTACTACTTATGCCCGTGCATTATGCATGACTAGCAGCATCAAAGGGAGGGGATACGGGTAGCACTGCAGCAACCAAAACCACCACGTAAACAACTGTGATTGATCAGTAATAACCACGTGATTGATCAGTAATAATCACGTGATTGATCAGTAATAATCACGTGATTGATCAGTAATAACAACGTGATTGATCAGTAAAAATCTCGTGATCGATCAGTAAAAATCACGTGATCGATCAGTAATAATCTCGTGATTGATCAGTAATAATCTCGTGATTGATCAGTAATAATCACGTGATTTATCAGTAATAATCACGTGATTGATCAGTAATAACCGTCTAGAGTTATTCTGCTGTGCCTATTTACACCTGATGAAGGAAACGTCGTGATTTATTCTTTTATTTCTATTATTATTTATATAAGGTTTATTTTTTATTTTTATCATTATTTTGTACCTACGTGAATCCTTGCAGTCACGAAAGCTTCAAATCTAGAGTTATTACGTAAACCCAGAGCCGAAGTCAATAGGGTAAAACTAACCTATCTCCGATCCCAACCCACCTCTCGCCTATTTCGAGTTAATCTCTCGCGGAGTTCTCACGCTGTTCGCTATCTCTCTCACGTACTCACGGTTCGCTGCGACGCATCACACGGACGCAGGAGTGACCGGCAAGTGTACTGTCCCGATCGCTGTCTTGAGAAGAACACCAACTCTCCGTCGCGTTCCCTCCTTCCCTTGTTATTGTTCTCTACGTAAAAAAAAACTTCAGATCGCTTGCCCGTGACGCCATCATATTCGTACCGGAGCTCTCATCTAGGCCTCGGCAAGGTAAGGTAATTGTACCCTTTTTACCGGGTAAGAGGGTAAAGGTGTCGACATGCCAAGGGGTAAGGGTAAAGGGTAGGGTAAAGGTAGGCTCGTTGCTTTTTACACTTTTACCTTACCTGCTAAAGAGTAAAAGGTAGGGTTGAGTGATTTTATTGTGGTAAGGTTAAAGGTAGGGTAAAAGTAGGCTCGTTGCTTTTTACACTTTTACCTTACCTGCTAAAGAGTAAAAGGTAGGGTTGAGTGATTTTATTGTGGTAAGGTTAAAGGTAGGGTAAAAGTAGGCTCGTTGCTTTTTACACTTTTACCTTACCTGCTAAAGAGTAAAAGGTAGGGTTGAGTGATTTTATTGTGGTAAGGTTAAAGGTAGGGTAAAAGTAGGCTCGTTGCTTTTTACACTTTTACCTTACCTTGCCGAGGCCTACTCTCAACTACGTCCGCTTCCGTTTTTCCACATCAAAGGGGCTGCCGCTAAGCTTGGGGGTTTGTCCCAACCAATCAGAGTGCTTGCCTGCGGGTGTTCGGCAGCATCCATTCAGCCAGTTGCCCCCCCCCCCCCGCCCTCATACTTGCCGTGCTGTGTGTGTTTTCATCAAGGGTGGCACAGTCGGGTCGGGTTTTTTACAATCGGGTTTAATTGTCTTTTTATATTAAACCCGATCATCTGAGATTGGGAGAAATCCGGTTAAATTGGTTCTAATTGCAGAACCGCACTTCTCAACGACGGGCTTCATCCATTCCAAGCGAAGGAACTCACTGGCGCCCACGATTGTGGAGGAGAAGCTCCTCGTGTTCATCAAGACCAACCTGCCCGCCGCATTCTACGACTACCCCGTGCCCAACGGCCCCCCCGAGTACGATAGCAGCACCGACGAGGAAGCAGCCTAAGCCTTGGATCAGAGTTTCGTATTCATTAAACCAGGTTTTAATTCCCCGAAATCGGGTTTAATTGTATTAAAGAAAAAACCCGATGCCTGCCGCTGGAGAAATCGGGGTTTTTCCACCCATGGTTTCATCGTGGTGTCGGGGTGACCTGGCCATGACCTGTGACCTTTAAGTCACTTCACGGCACGCAGTGCAATTTAACCTGGGGGAAATCTGCCAATTTCCTGACCCCAGGAAACCGTTGCGGCATTCCCACGAGGGGCCCCCGGGTGAAAACCCAAAGGTCAGGTGGCTTCCCCACGAGGTCCTATGTGGGTGTGTGTGTTCATGTGGTGACGTCACCGCCACTTAGTGGCGAATGGCGATTGTTGTTGTTCATGTGGGGGGTTGTGAGGGGGAAAGCAGCGTCGGCAAAGCTGCTTTGTGGTGGTGGCATCACAGGAGCGGCGCCGGCAGAGCGGCTTCGTTGCTGTGGCATCATGCAACCACGGAGAGAGAGAGAGACACGCAAATTCCAAATATACAGCAGCAGGTGTCAGGGTCGGGATCGAACCCACGACCTCCTGTAGACCAGGCGAGGTAGTCAACATCTCACCACGGAGAGAGAGACACGCAAACTCCAAATATACAGCAGGCATCGTCAGGGTCGGGATCGAACCCACGACCTCCTGTAGACCAGGCGAGGTAGTCAACATCTCACCACGGAGAGAGAGAGAGACACACAAACTCCAAATATACAGCAGCAGGCGTCAGGGTCGGGATCGAA